TTACGCTAGGCAACTTCCCCCCTCTCCCCTCCCGTAAATGCATGACGTAATATTTGGCTGTTTCCTTTTCTCATAGAAAATCATCCAGTATTACGATTTAATACTGGATTTTAGGGACCGACGGCGGTGGCTGTGTGGTTAGAGTGTGGAATTGACATGCGGGAGGCACCCGGGTTCGATTCCCGGCTGGGGGGACCAACATTTGTGACTCTAAATTTCACGGTATCATTGTCGAGCGGGAGTCTTGCAAGAAACGACTGTACTTGGACAGGATTTTCCCGCAAATGAGGTGTTCCCTTGCCCTTCGGCGAATACCGTACAGGGGGTTGGGGGGTGGGAAGGGAACAAATCGTAAAAACCCTAAAGGGTATACGAGAGAAATAAAAAATTTACGGGATTTTAGGGTCTTTCCACTTGAAAGTAGGTAATCCGTTCCGTATTATCAGTATCACGCTTTTCAAAACAACAAGTATGTTGAATTCAGTGGCTTAATTTGGTTCTAGAAACATTTTTTTCGGACATTGTGAAGAAAAATGATCATAGAGAAAATTATTTGGTGAATTTCACCAAGTAGTTGGCGAATTTCAACAACTAGTTGGTGAAATTTAATAACTAATTAATTAAAATTCAGAAAAGATTTTTCAATTTCATTCAATCAATTTTGCCAGCAAACTAGGTGGTGAGGGCATATATACACGGAGAGAAATTTTTGATAGAAATTATCCTACCGTTCTATAAAAGTGTATCGTGAGTCATCGTTTCCTCATTTCTATCCCGAAATTTAGTAAAAATTGATATATGATGAACAAATTTTAATCTACGTTAGAGAAATTTTATCCTGATACACTGATAGAATGATTCATTTATTCCAAACGAGATTCGTTAACTATTAACGAGTGGTAGAGTTGAATATGACCAAATGAATATTCGTTAATAGTTAACGAATGGTTCACTTGTTTAACTATTAACGAATGAACATTTGGTGGAACCGAATAGACCCTAACCTCCAACCAAAATCCATTCGTTAACAATAATCCGTTCTATCAGTGTAAAAATAAAAATTACCGCGCCGGTAGAGTAAAAATTATTGGACTGGAAGGGTAAAATTTATTATGCGTCAGGATAAAATTTCTCTAACGTAGAATAAAATTTGATCATCATACATTAATTTTTACTAAATTTCGGGATAGAAATGAGGAAACGATGACTCATGATACACTTCTATGGAACGGTAGGATAATTTTTATCAAAAATTTCTCTCCGTGTACATTTGGAAACAATCCCGCAATCATTGATATCTTGACAATCGATAAATGTCTCCCCTAGAATATATTTTCGCAATAATCTACAATTTCTTGTTAAATTTGATGCATCAAACAAATCGCCGAACGTTTATTGAAACCTTAACAAATAGTTGTCGAAGGAAATTGAAAAATCTTTTTCTGAATTTTAATTAAATAGTTGTTAAATTTCACCAATTGGTTATTGAAATTCAACAACTAGTTGTTGAAAAAATGAATTACCAACCAGTTGTTAAATTTCAAAAATGAATTATCAACCAGTTGTTAAATTTTAAAAATGAATTACCAACCAGTTGTTAAATTTCAACAACTAGTTGGTGAAATTCACCAAATAATTTTCTCCGTGATATGACCCTCACACTCGTCAGAAAAGATTTTTTCGGCCTTGTGACGAAAATAGCCATTTCTGTACAGCTCTGTAGTGATGTTCACTTTTCCTCGTTCGGGCAAACTCGTAAAAGTAAACATCACTGCAGAAAAATATCTTTCACGATTGGTGCCGTGGGGTTCTTTTACTGCCGTGGTTGGCCAGTCCTATTTACATATTTTTTGACGTGATTCTTCGAAATAGACTACCAACAGAGTTGAATTTTTTGTGGTAGAGGATTTAGAAATTTTCAGTTGAAATATTCTATTCAGTTTTCGATAAAAAATTTTCCCCATGCAATGTTTCCGCGATAATCGGATTTCGATTATAATTGGCGAGCAATAAAACAAGGGTTAGTGAAGCGGGAAGTTATGCATCAATAAATTAATCCAATAAAAGAGAAGGAAATAGCAAATGCATATAATCCCTCGATATAGAATTAAAAAAACTTCTACATGAATTGCTCTTCGTTCTTTCTGTAATATCGTTTTTTTTCTATGCACTGAACGACTAGACTCAACGACTAGCGAAACGGCCATACTACTTCTCAAGGAGATGGTGATCGTGACAATTGTTCCGTACTGACTGCAGTATAGAATCCCTGATTTTCATCGAGACAATGTTCACCCATAATATGCAATGAAGATCTAAAATAAATCACAAGGATTCTACATTATTGAAGTTTCATGTTGTGGTATTCGCAGAGAGTGAGTGACAAAAATAACCGGGCAAATGACCATCATGACCGGTACGCAGAGAAAAATATTCAGTAAAAATTATAAAACAATCCACGTAATCCGCAATGGGGAATCTTTTTCCGGCAATTTTTATAGCAACGGAAGAGATCAAATCTGAAACATTCAGTGAATTCTCAGGTTCATCACCCATCAAAGTACGAAATTGTCACGTAATTTTTCCCGAAGAAGTAAAATTTTACAGAAACTTCCCGACTTATTATGCCTCCAAAATAAAAAATTCTTGAACGTTCAACAATTTTTCTGAAGCTGGTGAGTTATTTCTACGTTCCGTTCCGTAAAATTTCTTAACTAGTAATAATTTGTAATCGTTCTTTAATATTTTGCGACAATAGAATCGACAGTTCTGATAAATAATTCTTAGGTCGCAATTATTATTTAGGTTCTGTGAGATTTCAATGATTTCGATGATGCAGAAGTCATTGATTTCAGTTGGATGAAGTCGATGAAATCATGGTGAGTTATAAAATCACTAAAATTCATGCTTGCAAACGCTCACATCATAAACTCAATGAAATCATTGAAATTGCTAACTTAATCGAGTGAAATCGACTGCATATAGCAGTCATAGTTCTAGAAGGCATGGTACTGAGAATAAGAAACTGTTTACTCAATTTCATAAAAAAAATCCTAAAATTCATTATCAAAACCGTACGTATTTCAATTAGAAACAGTTCCTAAATTAAGAATTTCAAGCCAGAACAACGAAAAATCGGATCTTCTTTCTTTGATTTTCATAAGCGAGCTAGGGGGCTACGCCCCCTGCTGGCTTCGCTCGCCAATCCTCATATGATCCATGTATGACCCCCATAATCCTTATTTTGACCCTTGTGACCCTTAATCTCACCCTTGTGACCCTTAATCAGATCCTCGTGACCCTTATTTTGACCCCCGTGACCCTTATTCTGATTTTTACAACGTTTATTCTTATTCTCATGACCCTGGTTCTGATCCATACAAAAAAGACCCTGATTCTGAACCTCGTGACTCTTATTCTGACCCGTATAACCCTTGTTCTGACCTTTGTGACCCTTTTCTGACCCTCACGTTCCTTAATATGACCCCTGTGACCCATAATTTGACCCTTATGACCCTTAATCAGATCCTCGTGACCCTTATTTTGACCCTCGTGACCCTCATTTTGAGCCTTGTAACCTTGAATTGTGGAGTCTTAATCTCGAGGAGCAAATTTTTATCACCAGAAGTCGATTTGAATTTTTATAATATAGAGAGAAATTCACTTATTTTCAGTATTTTTTCGATTGTCGTATCAGTAAAAACCGTTGAATTTCAGAAATCCTTTGATTGAAACTGCAAACTTTTTCGCTTTGTGTAGGGCATATGTGTAAAACATCCCCTTTCGAAAATAATTCATATAAAAAAAGTGATGAATCTCGTTCGAGTTATTTCATTGCCTTCACCGAATGAAAAAAGTTTTCTAAAAAAAAGGGTAAAATACGCGACGCAGAGGTTGCTTCATCCTCTTTGTTTTTTATGTCAACATTCTTTTTGTAGAACAAAGAGAGAGTTAGGAAAACGCTCCCATCGACATTCCTATAACTCCCTCGATTTTACAGTACCTTCGAAAAACTGATCTCAAAATGGCATTGATACATGCGAATTCACCGCTGTACAACTGAGCTGACCTCATACCCGTAACCTTCCAACTTGACGAGTTCTTCACTTGTTCTTATCAACAATTCTATTCAACAATTGAAGAAATGAAAAAAATTCCATTTTGCACTATTCTATAAAAAAAAAGTCCTCAAAATTGTCCATCCCAAGGAGAATCCCCGAGGTCAACCCAAACAAAACCATAACCATAACCATAACCTTTCAGAATAACTCCATAAAAATGACCTAGAAATTCCAGCATCGAGTCAGCAATGGCAGGCCTAAAAACAACATTATTACCGGGTAATTTCCCTCTCAACGGTCAGATGATTACACCCCACAAGAGTCCTATAACCCTCTTTTTCCCTCGCCCCACATAATACCACCCAGAAACATGGAAAAAAGAGAGAAAAAATAAATTCATAAAAACAGAGAGGGGAATAAACATTGTAAAAGCAGTGGCACGCGATACAGAGAACTCGACTGCAGAAAAATTGTGTCGAGGGCGCGACTCCACTTCCTCCAATATTTTAACAATATTTTTAACGTCAAGCCTTCATTCCCTCCATTCCCCGCACCCAAACCGCCCTCAACCACTGTTTTCGTTCAATCACACAGGAGGTAAACTCGTAGGAACTCTTGTCATGAACATACTCGTTATTTTCACATAACACGGATGAGTTTTGCCCCTGGGAAAAAAAAGTGTTACTTTATGGTCCCAGAGGTCGATCGATTGTGAACATAAAAATAGCTGGAAAAATGGTAAAAGGGGTTTTGAGGTGAAAAAGAAATTGGTGGGATGCTGGAAAAATGTTAGGAGGGACTCACGATATGCTTCGAATGAGTTGATAAAAAATTGATAAATTTTTTTTCACGATTATTAGCCTCATCTCCATTATTCCTTGGTACCTATTTGATTCATTACTTGTGAAATGATTTCGACACAAATCACTAGGAACTCACGTCTCTCATATTCGTAAATCTGTGATTGCACGTCTGTGGTGTGTCATGAGAATAATCACGACCCGCTGTACGCAGGAGTACGCGCGATTGAGGCGCATCGCCTCACCAGGCCGGCGAGCTCTTCACGACTGCCTCGGTCAAAGGGAACAACGAGTGACGGACTGAGGGGTGAGCCTGGGTTTTGGGGGTAGGTGAGGGTGAGATACTCGAAGGGCATCGGGGGTGAGGGTGGTGGCCCGACTGGGGGTGACATCTTGCGGGAAAGTGAGGAATTTTGTGCATTTGTGGAGGAGTTTTCATTGAGGTTGGTTACGATTCGATGCTTTGAAATTCCCGCTTTTTGGAGGAGCGTATACTGAGGGAAAAATCGACATAATATCACAAAATTATTTTGTGAGCGAAAAACATCGCATTCATATTTAATCAATTTATGGTAGGTTTCAGACAAGAAATTGGTGCTCGTCGGGTTAAGGAGGAAGTTACTGAATGATAAGATGATGCCTTTTTTTGTAATGAGATAATATTTCTTAAAAGACAAGAGAAGTTTAACAGAAGAAGAAGAAGATATTGCTTTCCTTTGAACTTGAACCGATTGAGCGTAAGCGACGGTTATATTTTTTTAATATCTGGAAGTTTTCCTCTGCATAAACTCTCTATTCATTCAATATGAAAGTCTCTGATTCATGATTCACTGAGTCGAAACTTGTAGTATTATTGTCATTTTCTCATCTTCTCACACGAAAAAACCGATTTCATGTTTAGGTCATGAACACTTCACTGGAATCTGACACATTATCCGGAATTCTTGTCCCACGGAATTTATCCTCAAGAGATGAGATATTTGGCGCAAGATATTAGTTTTGTGATATTATGAGGATATTTCTCTCAGTGTAGATACTGAGTTTTTTCGCCTTGAATTTCATTATTATATTGTTTGAATGTTTGTGGACGTCCGCATGAGAAGGGACCTCTGTCGATTCTAGTTCCCGAGATATTCATATTTTTGTCTCAACAACTCCCTTTTACACCAATGTCAAATTGTTTTTTTATCTGCAATTATGACGACTATATTGCTCTAGAAGATGATCATGTGGGTTATGACATTGAGAGAACTTCCTCAGTAATTATAAACATTAAAAAACTAATTGAAATTCTTCCCTCTAGAAAATAATAAATTTGGAAAAAATGAATAATCAATTAAGGAGTCAATCCATGGTCATGTGCAACACAGTCATTCTCTAGAGCAACATTATTGTCATAATTGAAACCTAATCAGGCTCGTCTGAGAATTACTAAATTAGAGAAATACGATTTTAAAAAACAAATGGTTCTCTCAAGTAACTGCATATTTAGCAAAAATAATTCTTTTTCTCAGTGTGTTGAAAGCCTTCTTTCTCTCAGCATAAGCAGAAAATTATTTACCAGGAGATTTCACGACTCTAGAAATTGACAAGAGAATATTTTCTTATATCAAGGAAATCATCTTTATCAAAACTAATTTTTTCTCTCTGTGATGAACGAATGTGCTTGTGCTTTTGTTTTACGTCAATAACATCGAAATCGTAAGAAATAGGAAATTTCAGATGACAATAATTTGTTAGTGATTCAAGCATAAAAACATTTATGCAAAACATCAAGAAGAACAGACTTGATCTGTCATTGGAAACTCCTATTCTCACTCACAACATATTCCCAATTGACAAATGTCATCAATTCATGCCTCCATCTTTCTATTATTCCCTTCATCATGTTAATCTGCGAGAAATGCAGATTACATCTCCCATTGTTAATCCGCGAGAAAATGATCAGCCAAAAGTACCATCTCATTCTCAAATAAATACCCTACGAGTCCTGCGCCCGCCACCAGTGGAAACGGCCCTTACTACTGTCCAGTAGAATAACCGACATATGATCAGGCAGATCAACCCGACAAAGTTGCTGACAAATGAGCAAAGCTCCTGAAACCGAATTCATCCCTCAACGTCCATTTATGCTTTCATAACTCTTAACTCTTATCTGATCTACATTTCGAATCGAATCTTCGGACAAAACCAGAAGAAATAATTAAACAACTTCATAAAAATGATGAATGTGGCTCCATTACCTTGTTTTACTAAACTCAGTCTCCATTCCGAAGAAACGTAAATAATGAAACACTTTAAGATCCCATAAACCAAGTAAACCCAAGAATCAACGATCGCGATATACAAAGAACTTAACCACGTCCAAGATCGATCGGTCGAGTCAACAGGTTTGCGTGTCGGAAGTCTCCGAAGTGAGGTAGGAGTCCGAGAGGAAGTCCACTCATCAACAATAAAGGGTGGTCTAAGGCTTTATAAAGCGATCGCAGCCGGAGATCGGATGCGGTGGTTTACCTTTTCCTCTTTTAAACGCAGCAGTAGTCGGAGCTCTTGATCGATGTAATAATGCCCCAGAATTTCATGGTGAATTACGATCGAAAGTCGTGAGAATATGAGGTGAGAAAGGTCAAGGGTGCAAGAAATATTCACGTAGAATTAAATGTACAAGCTTCTGTTTCTCTCAACTCTCATTGTATTGTTTCTCATTGCATCATACGTGGATTCTACGATAGGGAAGTAACATAATCGTTGACAGATTTGATAAGTACAAAATAATATATCTATAATTTTTTAAGAGAGAGGCAAAACGATTTGAGTCGAACACTGTTAGAAAATTACTTTTGAAATTTCAAGTAAAAAATATTGAAATTTTTAACAACGAATAATTTCCATTGATCTTGTTATTGATAAATCAAGCAATATTCTTGAATATTCAATAATTTGATTTCTCAGGTTCATACGACAATGAAAATGATTGAAAATCATGAAAATTCAAGCAACTTTTCTTCTGAATTTTCAATCTGTTGCTTAATTTTCGCGATAGGTTTGAAAATCCAAATTTTCATTTAAAATTCAATGATCATTCATAATGAAAAACTTAATTGTATTGAATTTCCAAGATGAATCAGGAATTCTATATATTCTATTTAGTCTGAAATTGAATTCAAGTTCAGAATATTGAAAATTCAAATGCATCTGTTACTTGAATTTCAAAAAATTTCCAACAGTGAAGGTGATGTTTTTGGTGATGAAAAATATCATGAGACTTTTCTTGTTGGGAAGATAATTTTATTAAGATAGTGTCCTCTGCTAGGTTTGCCTGGTATCACTCATTATGGACATAATTGAATTTGAATTAGGGGAGAGTGGGGCAGAATGGAATAGTCAAACAAACAACTGTTTGGCGCAATTCAATCAAAAACAAATTTTTTTATTAAATTTTTGTTGTTAACTTTTTTTTATTCTTGCGAGTACTGATGTGAATAATAATTTCCCATTCAGTAAAATGGAAAATTATTGAGAAGTTTTGATGGGCGAACATTTTGTCAATGGATTATTCGATTCAAATTCAGCATCGTATTTTCATTTTTCCCTCTCTGGGTCTCCCCCTGGGCCTTGCTCTGGACTTTGAATTTTGCTGCTTCATTTTTTTTTTAATTAATCCATTGACAAAATCTTCGCCCGTCAAAACTGCTCAATATTCTCATCAATACTCCTAAGAATAAAAAAAAATTAATAAGAAAACATATTTGATAAGAAAATTTGTTTTGCTTGAATTGCGCCAAATAGTCGGTTTTTTGACTGTCTCATTTTGCCCCGCTGTTTTATTTTGCCCCGCTCTCCTCTATCAAATTTTAGCTAATGAGATAATTTTCCCAAAAATGATCAATTTTAAGACAAAATATCAAGACTTCTTTTGAAAGGAAGAAAATCATCAATAAGAAATTCAATAGCGAATTGGCAAATTAGTTAAAGTCGATTTTGACCATTGGCCAGTTGTCAATGAATATCTTGAAATCTATGACAGATAGGAAAATTTTTGTTTTTTTTTTTCATTACGAAAATTTCGCTATCTCTCTTACATTCTGAGATATTCCTCGAAAACTCGGATAAACGCCAAGTCGACTTAATCCGTTTTACCACTTCGCTACTGAATTAATTTAACTTAAATCGTTTCACCACGTTTCCACTGATTTAGTACACATTAAACCCTTGAGTGCGACAATTGAGGCCGAAAATTTACTTCAGAGATTCCAGTATCACAGAATTCGTTTCGAGTATTAATAAACTCGATGGGACAAGACATTACATGAAAACAAAGATACATAAAAAATATTGAAAAATTTTTCAATAGAATTTAACGATAATTAATGATAGAATTAAAACCACTCGCTGCCGAATTATTATTTACAACTAAAATACCACATACACCTCACTGGTCCACTTAGTTCGTACATTCTAGTCCGTATACACATGTAAAAACCGGATATGATGAATTCTACTTAGTCTACAATATCTAAAACGAGTTTCTACGTTTCACACTCGTTTTAAATTTATGAAGTTGTACTTTTTCTCATTTTTATATAAATGGATTCTTAATTGTCATGTTAGATAAATATCATTATTTGATCAACGCTAAAGGTTCAATCAAATAGAGTAATAGAGAAAATTGCAGAAATTTTTTTTTTTCTGATGAGAGAAAAAATTTATTCTCCAAATATTTTAGATTTAGAGAGAACTATCAGAATATGCTTTTGTGTAGTTCACAAATTTCTCCATAAAAAAGCCTTATGATAATTTTCTTCAAATCTTTTTTTTCCAAAGATATCTGTAAAACAGAAATCCTCAATTATAAAATGTTATTATCCTCACCATAAAATTTATTTTTCTTGTCTAGAAGAATAATTTAAATATCTCATAAACTGTCAGGCATTTCCAGGTCCGTCCCCCTTTCACTCAAACCTAGAACATCCCGCAAAATTCTAAATTTCTTATTCTTAATCACTTCTGGAGTCAACTAATCAGAGTGAATAAGGCCGGAAATAACATTTGAATTCTTTCGTCAGTTACAAAAATGCGAGTTTTCATAGATCCATCACTTTTCTGGATCGCGGAGGACGACCTAGTAGCGATGGAATAGTACTTTTCAAACTTTTCGAACTTTCCACCCATTGTCAAGATAATTCAGAATTCAAAATGTGTAAAATTGACTCGTTCTATTAAGGGGCGTGATGAAATTCAAAACTCTGACTGTTGTCACAATAAAGTAGAGTCATTTCTGTTCGCTAAGGCTCTCAAAAAAAAATTAACAAGGAGCAAACTCCGAAGATTTTCAAGTCCCTTAAGGATATCCAAGTATCTTTTACAGTTTGGTACAGACCACACTATAAATTCAACCATTTTCAATCATCAAATTTGTCAATTGAATTGCGTGAAAAAATTTTCAAACAATCATGAATATTCAGCGTCAATCAAATTACATTCTGCACAGAATTATGATTTTTTAAAACATTTGTTGTTTATTAAAAAATAATTGAAATTGTTTAAAGTTTCGAAAACCTTATTTTTTGGGCATGAAATCGATTTCTTGTAAAATTCTGATTATGAATAAAAAAATGAATAAAGAGCGAACTCCGAAGATTTTCAAGCCCGTTAAGGATATCCAAGTATCTTTTACAGTTTGGTACAGACCACAATATAAATTCAACCATTTTCAATCATCAAATTTGTCAATTAAATTGCGTGAATAAAATTTCAAAAAATCATGAATATTCTGCGGCAATCAAGTAACATTTTGCAGAGAATTATTATTTTTTAAACATTCGTTGTTTATAAAAAATAATTGAAATTGTTTAAACTTTCGAAAACCTCATTTTTTAGGCACAACATCGCTTTCTTGTAAAATTCTGATTATGAATACATTTGTTACCATTCCGAACAAATGATTTGTATGGTGGAAAATTGATTGTTTATAAATTATTTATAAAAAATGCTTGTAATTAAAAAAAAACATTTTATCAATCTCCCTCCAAAAGTACCCGTTCCGGAATTTTTGACGTGCCGCCGCCTCGCAAAACTCGAAATAAATAGAAAAAAATCCTCTCAAAATTTCAGCTCTCTATCTCAATTCTAAAATGCCCTTCAAGAGCCTTGTTTTTACTGATAAGAATAACACGGGATTTTGAGGGAAAATTCGAATCTATTTTAGTGACATAACGGGCTCCTGTCCGTGTTATGATGAAAAATTACTGAGTAAAAGAACTGCTTTTGACGGAAATTTTTCGTTTTTTGATCGTATCATACAATAATGCAATTATTCTTATGGGAAAAACCGTCTTATTTAGGATTAAGATGGAGAGCTAAAAATTCAAGAAAATTTATTTATTTATTTCGAGCCTTTCAATGGGGCGGCCCATCAAAAATTGCGAAACGGATGCCCTAACGCACACCCTAGTGTCCATATCAACGATGGGTGAATCAATTCAGAGATTCATCGATTCGAACTTCAGGCACTTGAACGATTTCCAGACTTTTGGTTCTTTTCGATTTCTCATACACTTTAAAGCTCTCCAGAGTTTGCTTCCTTTAAACTTTTTAGAGGCTCCTACCGATTGGTAAGAACTCCCAGACTCACGTTTACAGAAAAATCCAGGGACTTTTCAATTTCGCCACAGTCTCCCCTCAAGTTTCACCACTTCATTACTGAATCCTCTATAATTTTCAAACTTAGCAACTCTGCAATTCCACATCTATCTTTTACCATTAACTTTCCCCTTGGGGCTTTCGGCAGTGGATTCATTGAGGTCACGTCTGGGTCTCAGTATGAAATTAAGATTATGAGCAGTATTAACAGCATAATATACATTAGCTGAGCTAGGTAATACCATCTCCCTGTCAGGCAATACCTGAGCAAGTGTATATTGGTCTGGGCTGCCCTCAATACACAGCTTCAGCATAGCATTCCTAATGACTTGCGGTGTACGTTCATTATTGGACAGCATGATGGATTTGTACAGGACAACGCCCTCAGTCTCAACGCTGTCGCTCTCCATAGTTACTTTGATAATGTAAAAATCAGGTGAATTCTTGTGTGAGTGACTGGGACTGGAGAGGCCGGCTAAATTGGTTGCGCTGGTGCCATTTGTTGCTATTGCAACTGGTGGAGCTAATCTCGAAGTGTTGCTGCCCCCTCCAGAGCCCAGAGAGACGTCCAACGAGGGTAACGATGAGTTGGAGGATGAGGAGGACAACTGGGAGGGCGATGTACGTCTGTCTAGGGAATTGTGGGGAGAACTCGGGAGGGAATCGAGGTCGCAGTAGAACTGAGAACTACTGGAGCTTGAGGTCGATGCCAATGAGTCATTTTTTCGATGACCCTGACCATTGGATTTCTTCTTCCGGTTCAGAGTGTTCCCTGGGGGTGGGGGCTCTATCTGACAGCTGAGTTTATAGGCTTCCCGATCATCCAGAACCACTATCGAGTGGAACCAACAATCGAAGAGAGGATCTGTGGTAAAGTGGTAGGCGTTCGCTGCACCCTGAAGCAGACGGATACGGGCGAGGACTTCGAATTCTTTTCGACGTTTGTCGAAGTTTATTAGACCATCGGCCACAGTATCTGGGATTGCTGTGTCAATCATTGTCAGGTCGGTGAGGAAGGTACCGAGGTATGGAATTGTGCCATAGCTGATATTCTGGAAAATACCAAATGATTGATTACTAGGGTGAATCGTCCAGTGTTCGAACGAATAAGGTCACAGTTATTTTTGACGTAGATTTAAAAATATAACCAAGTCGAAAATTGATTCAAAAATAATTATAACTCCCTTGTACATCTCCATAGATCATAGAAAAAAATATTATGGACATTAATTGACGATCCAATTAATTATATGAATACAAAAAGCTGAAAATGTGTGAAAACCCAGTAATCGAAATGCGTATTCTGTAATGGGAATATGCTATTGGCGGCGTGTCATCGAAAACTGTTTTTTCCGCTGGTAATAAGGTAACTTAGACATTTTCAATCATCACAATATCATTTGGAAATGTCATAATTTTATTTTTCATGTATAATGCGAGGCATCTGTACCTTCTACTAATTTATTTTATAGAAAAAGTACCAATTAGTTCGATTACTGGTCTGGTTCGAACACTGGTTGGTTCACTCTGTGTAATGAGTTGAAGTTATTCGAATATCCCGCGCCAATCGAGCCCGAAATTATTGAGATAATTTAGTTATTGACGAAATGTGTCGCTTGTGATTCGACGAGTTACTTCTCACGCGAGACACCTCACTCTCTTGCTGTTCAAGCTCTGACGTGACCGGTCAGTCAATTACCTTTCTCATCATTTTGTCATTTGAAGCTTTGAGTAATTGCATTAATTGTTAATTGAAATAATATTTTGTCCTTTTTAAGTTGATATAAAGATAAAATTGTATACTGTACTTGAAAATAATATTTATATATTAAAAGCGAGTAATTTCGTGTAACGGAAAATCGTCCGCATTATTACAAAATAAATTAAGTTTTGGAAGGTAACGCATTTATAATTTTCATCATATTTTGCATTAAAAAAAAACTGAATAATAATATCATTTAAATATTAAAATATTACAATTAATCATCTTTCTTTTGTTGGAATTCGGATGCTGATGGAATATCATGTTTTACGAAAAATATCGATGAATTTGATAAATTTGGTTGAGCTGTTCTCACGACTTCACCCCTAGACCATTTTTGAGACTACTATGAGTTTTAAAAGTCACAGGCTATTGGAGTGAAATTTCTCATGCATTGAAGATTGATTATGTATGCCTAAAAACGAATAATCAATGCAAAAATTCAATTGCTTATTGTTCGTTTACTCCGCAGACGCTTAAAATGTTGAAATAGTTCAGGCCCTCTAATTTTTGAACTGTAGAAGTTTTTTTTTAACTTTTGAATAAATGTGTACAGTAACTATTACGAATTAGTTTTTTGAAATTTGACTCCTACACTGCTAATTTCGTTTTGTTTAGCATAAAAATTTGCGCCATTCATGGAAAGAAGGCAGAAAAATGATATAATTGTTAATGATTTAGAAACGAGTAAATTCTCCGTCATTTTCAGAAAAGCCTTCTCAGTATCATGTCAAATTTCCCACAGAAAAGCTCCCCTAAGGAATTCTCCCAAAACTCTTGGCTTTCCAGTTACTCCCAAAATAACCAAACCATCATTTTTGCACTTGTCCCCTTCTACCTTCTCATTCCAGACTCGATGGAATCTCAACTATTTTCGGCTTTCAAGACATTCTCCCAATTTATTAATAATTCCATAAATCCTTTTTTTACTTCCGAATGGAAGCCTTGTATTTGACCGATTTTTCGATTTTCTAATTTTGATTGCAAAAGGCCTAGAATGTTATGAAAAGTGAAGAAATAATGTTTTTAGGGCCATGTCTGTGTGTAAGTATGTGACAACTTGGGTTTTTGATGATTATATTTTAGAAAATTCAACGAAAACAGTGAACTTTGTAGATAAAAATGTGAAATTTTGGCTTATTGATTGATAACAACTTGTTTAAATTTACTTTTTTCTCAATATCTCAGAAACTACTGCACCTATTCCAATTTTTCTTATCGTCTCGACGGCCTCTATCTAGACCAATGATGTACCCATTTAAAAAAATAGGTAAAATCCAGGAATAGTGTATTTGGCCATTGAGCCGAAAAAAAAATTTTCTAGGGATTATGAGTTGCAATCATATGAGCTTGTAAAATTTTTTTATGCCGTGTGTCGGACAATACTTTTTATCATTACGGCTGTAAGCAGGGATTGACGGATATGTAGCGTCCGCGGAGCGCTGCCTTACGGTCGAAATGACAAAAAATTACCTAGAGTACAATGAAATTTATGAAATTCACAATTCATTTATTCATAATTTATAGCGAATAAAATAAAGCGGATGTTTGACTTTATTTTTTGGAGTGTAACGAAAATTTAAAAAAAGCTAAAATCCTATGAAAACTACGGCGCAAGGAGCATTTTGAAAGTAAAAACAGGAAAAAATGAAGTTTTCCGTGGTTGTACGGGGCAAAATCGATCGGGTCCACGATTTTCCCTAGTTATTCCTATATTCCGTCATATATCACAAACTGTTCAATGGGTCCCAAGGCCCAGTGAAGACTTTTAAATTTTACCGACGTATCCCCAACTTTTTGAACAAATTTCCTGCCAAAAATTAACGATATTTTTACAAATCGAAGCGCATTAATCTCCAGGAGGTGACGATGAAGATCAAAGTGGTTTGGGTTCGAAAAATATTAACAACTTTGAGCAGGAAAACTGTTTGAAAATTTCAAGGAAACGGTGGCCTTTTGTTACCCCTTAACCACAGTCTGGTCACAAATGGCGACCCTGCGACTCTGGTCACCTCCGCGGGGATTCCCCGCCGTGTTATTTAGGCTCTAGCATTGCCGAATTCACTCCACATTGCCCGGGCGCGTTTAGCGAGTTTCCGGCAACGTCGCGTGATGGGCAATTTCATTTAATATGGGAAAAAATAATTCGTCTGTTCGAAATAATTTGTTTTCTTTAGGAATTTCGGGAAATATGTTATTCTAAAAACTACTATAATTCTTTAGACACTTCAATTGACGAAGTCAATTTTTTTTTAATTTTTCCGGTTAGCCAATCAATTCAGTAGCGAAGCGATAAACCGGTTTAAGTCGACTTAGCTTTTCGCGGAGTTTTCGAGAAATATCTCCGAATCTAAGAAAACAGCGGAATTTTCATTAGAACCTTTTTTGTAGCTCTCAATTCGCTCTACAAAAAAAGTAATTACAAAAAATTTGTTATCTCCCTTAGATTCCGAGATATTCATTAAAAACTGACCAATCGTCTAAATCTACTTGAATCTGTTTACCACTTCGCTACAGAATTGTAATTTAAAGAAAAACGACGCGCAGCGGGCTTTCCCTCACTCAGTTGCAAGTCTGCCATAAGGATAGAGAATTGCTACGAATCCATTTGGAAGATTACCACCAATCGAATAGGTAGAAATGAAAAAAAGAAAAGGACTAATAACGCGAAAAGTAACATTCACATCCCTTCTGTCGAGTAGGCTCGAACCCCTCCTTGTTTTTTTTTCAAATTCAAAGAATTTTTTAATTTTCCTTGAAAATATTTTAGACTCTTCGATTCATATGGAAGCAATCTCATTTATCAATTTTATCCTACATGAGAGATGATAGCAACTCACCCCCGCATGAGTATTCTGTTTTTGAAATAATTTCTGGAGATGCCTGTCACTCCTCCCAGCTGTGTCAGCAAATTTAGCAGTTCCCTCTTTGATAAGAAGCTCCCTCTGAGTCCAGGCGTTATTTTCCTCCGAAAATATTCGCTCCAATTCCATAAACAACTCGTGTTTCTCCCTAGGCATGCACTGCCAACACTTCTCAAGCCTGTAAACTGGATTACTCTGTAAGCCAGACACAATGGCCTTGAGACTGCTAAAATTCTTCAATATTCTCAACTCCTGGGCAATGTCAATCCACGTTTCGAGTATTCTGGCACGCTCCTGTGGTTTTGTCGCTGGATCCACAAGAATTGTGGAGATGACCCTGAGTGATACGGCGTTGAATTGATTTACGGTTGCTAAAACTGTTGCTGCGTCGTGACTACGTGATCTGTCACGTCGAGACCACACAGCACCTAAACATTGGTGGGCCACGAGCTTTTTGAAGACTTCCGCGTCCATGCGGGTCAGCTGCTCGGCAAAGTGACGATGAGGGACTTCGGGGAATTTGTAATTTGACCAGTGGTCGGTGTGGGAATCCGAGGAATTGTGGAGGACCAGTCTTCCATTGTCGTAGATACAATTGTCTGGAAAAATAACAAAATTAGAAAATTTCTTTGTTAAATACCGTGATGTGTAATTATTAATTCGACATCTTCTAATAAAACAAGGGTAGGGAAGGCTGGGGTAAAACGGACACTTTGGACTTTTTTTAAATTATTCATAACTCAGAAACAAATTGATCAATTGAGCTCAGTTTAGGCTCGTCACAAAGGGAAAGAATTGTCCTTTGTATTGAAAAAAAAATTAAATTTTATCTACATTTCAACCCTTCATTAACATTTTAAAAAAATTCAAAAGTGTCTGTTATACCCCAATCTCCCCTATTTCAATTTTCTTTTTAAAACAAGGATATCCTAATATTCGCGTTAAAACTAGGGAATCTCAAAATGCATGTGAAAAGTCGTCTGAAATCTCACGTTTTCCTGCTCGTGACAGCTGCATAAATGGCATGAATACATCAAAAAGTACAAATAATATGAAGTAGTTCACTTTGGAAGGGAAATAAAATGATTTGCAAGCTCCGTGAGACTTAGAAATGGATGTGAACAACAAGCTTTCACATAAATTTTGAGATATCCTAGTCTTGACGCGAATTTTGAGATACCTTTGTTTTAAAAAGAAAATTGAAATACCCCTGTTTTATGAGGAGATGTCGAATTATCCAGAGAATTAGTAATTCAGTAGGAAATGGTTCACATGGCTTTTAGTCGAACTACTTAACGATATCTATGCACCCGGCGAAAAGATTGTGTCACCCTTTCCTACAGTGAGAGAAAAACAAACACGTTGTCAAACAAGTCGTGTTTGGGCCAACAAAATCGCTAGTTGAAAATTGCCAGAAAAGAAATTGTTTGGTTCGAATTTGAAAGTCTCAAACATGAATAATTGTTCTGCTTTCGGCAGCAACGAAATATTTGGTTCAAGAGTTGGATAATTCACACCAGACGGTGCCTTTTCAGCATGAAAGTATGTCATATGAAGGAAAATTTATCAACAAAGATTTTATCCCCAAGTTACGAGATTGCTATCATATCATTATTATTGTTTTAGTTAAGGGTTCATTTCTTGTCTATGATTATTAGACAGCCGAAACGAAAAACTACTATTCCTTGTTTCGCATAACGAAGGGAGTATCGAATAACGAAGGAGTAATGCTAGAAATGATATGTCTTGCGTGTATAGAGAATGCAATTTTTTTTAAGTACTAAATCTATTTTTGCGATGAAAATTTTTCATTCACGGAGAGAAATTTTGTAGAAAAATTCTAGTGCTAGCACGGGAAACGAGGCGCAAAGTGACGGCCAGGAAAAAATTCCAGTGTCGGCACTAGAAATTTTATTGGGGAAAACGTGAATTTTTCCCCGCATTTCTGTGAAAATTTCACAGAAATCCCCAGAAATTTTACCAGAAATACCAAGAAATTTAGCCTTAACAGCACTACAATTTTTCACAGCCAGTGGATTGTAATTTTTTCCAGTACTAGTACTAGAATTTGTCTAGAAAATTTCTCTCCGTGTTCCAGCGCACTCTGCATGTTTGTCACAAAAAAATCCTTTTTTGATAATTTTCAAAAAATATTTTCTCGGCACAAGTAAGACTTGTTTGAGAACTTTGTCGTTTTTCTCTCAGTGTATAGTCAAAAACGGTTCTAGAAAAATTTCGCTGGTTGGAGAAACTGATACAGGTATTAAATAACCTAGAATTCGAAGGGCTGGTCAGTGCTCAATCGGGTCGCCCCCTGATTTCCAGAATGGGATGATTTCCTGTGATTTCTTGAATACCTTCTATAATTTCTCAATAAGAATTGGAAATCATGATTTATTTTGATTTCTCGTCACTTCCATGATTTCTACTACATTCCGATGATTTCTTGACATCAAGCGACTTATTTAACTGAGAATTTCAAGGGGACCAAAAAACTCTCCTCTTAAATTTTTGCAAACCTCTCCACGTCATAAATATTTACATAATAATCTACGCGCAAAATCACTCATCGCCTTCTCAAAATTAAAAAGCGAGAGATTCTGTCTCGATGAGTCATTTCTTCGTTTTGCAACATGAATCCAACCCAACTTGAATAATCTCATGTTTATTTTTATTTTCCGCGTCCAGTTTCGCGAAAGAATTCAATTCGATATCACAGTTATAAAAAATAAGAGCTATTAGAGGCAAATTCATACGAATCACACAGACTCAGAAACATCTCAAATACTAAAAGTTTTATTCCAAAAAATGGTAAAATATATTTTTTGGAATATACGGAAATTCTCTACTAGAGAGATCTTCCACTGAATTCCTCTAAACCTCTACCTTCTCACATAAGCGATTCGCGGAAAATCCATTCCAGTACTGAGCAAAATATTCCATTCGATCGATGCATTCCCGTCTTTTCAACAGCCATATAAACAGCAACTATCTCTTCAATGAATTTCTTATCTTCAATCAATAATTTTTCTTTAAAAAAAAAGTAGATAATCTACTACAATATCCACAACGATTTACTCTCATAGCCTCATTTCCCCTCACAATAACAACAGTCATTCACATTTCTAGGTCGAAGCGTAAACATAAAATAACTTTTCTCAGACGAAAACAATTTCTACCTCACAGAGGTTGGAATGATTCACTCCTCAGTCATGTCATAAGTGTTGAGTGTTAATTTGTGATAAGAGGGACAGTACATCCGGTTTGCCTCGTCTCATTTTTCAAAACATTTAAAAACAGATCAAGGATACGATAGTATGCCATACCGATTTCATCTTCGCACTGGAACCTGTGGAGTCGATGTCTGGCCTTAAGCTCAAGCTCAGAGCCAGGTAATCGTCGATGCGTAAAGTCCAAAAGTCTCGCGAGTAACGGATGACTCGGCGCCGACTTCCAGTCACCTGGATACGCGTCCAGCCATACGTGGAGGGCCTGTACCAGGGTTTTACGGTGCTGTTCACCAGTCTGCGTTGGGGAATTATCGTCAAGTGCGTCGTACCTCGAGAGGAGGAGCTCGAGTACCTCGCGAGGCGTCGTAAATGCCCGGTACGTCGCCAGGAAGACGTTGATGTAGGTTGATTCCAACTCGCCATCGTCATTTGCTAGGCTTTCTACTAATTTTTGGACTGTTCCTGCTTTCAGGAAACGCACGCGGACTGTCTCCCACTCTAGGTGGGATATTTCATCGTCAGAATCCTGGGGAAGGATCAATTACTAATTAATTATCTTTCATTCCTAATATTTTTTGACTGTTCTTGTATTTCATGATTGTTAATATTGAAAAATGGTCTCAACGGTCTTCAGCAATTTTAGGATAGTTGAAGCTCCAGAAGAATTTCTCAAAGTCTAAAGTATCCCAAAGCGGTGGGATACTTTAGACTTTGAATTTTGAATTCTGTTATCCGAATTTAGTTTTTCTTTCTTATATTCGGAAAGATGTTCTGGAATTATCTTAGAAGAAAAAATAAATCCCCTGATGAGGACTTCCGTGGGAGTCGAAACGTGAGGATAATTTAGACTTTGAGAAGTACTTCTTGAACTTCAACTACCCTAACATTGACGAAAATAGCTATTTCCTGTTTCAAAATTAGTCGACTCATGTTTATAAATCATTTGTCTTTCCAAAGTATATCACCTAACACCTTGACTCCATTAGTGTCGAATTAGTCATCATTTGTTATTCTGTATCACATATTCCAGGATGTCATCAAATGCGAATGCTCTTTTTGAAGAGCTTTTTCATTTGACATACACAAAGAGAAATATTCAATAAAAATTACGTATCTTTTCCGTAATTCCGGAGCGAAATGTGGTTGTAGGAAATTTTACGGAACTGTCACGGAATTTCCCGGAGCGTTTCGTAATTTTTATCTGAATCTCGTGTGAAAATGTACGATACCGTCGCTTAAATTTTATGAGTCGATTCCGTAATCGGTGAGTGAATTGAGAGTTTCGTAATTTTTACTGAACATTTCTCTCCGTATAACTCGATTTTTTGTAGTAAATTTGAGGGATTTTTCTTGTAAAATCAGGTAAGCGGTTTTTCATTAAGTTTTGCATTGAGTCTGATAGCCCGGTGCTGGCAACTGAATTTGGTCAAGTCTGATAAAATTGACTCATTTTGCCGTGTTAACACAGTAATTTTTCTTGTATTTTTTTCTCCGTCATCTAGAGCCATGAGTTTTCTCAAAATCAGTACCTTGGTTCTTGAAACTAGAAACTTTTTTGCTTCCGAATGGAAGCTTTATAATCGCTAATTTTGACGATATTCTAATTTTATCTAGAACTGACGTAGAATAGTGACATGAGACGACGGATGGGTGTGCGAATTTTTCGGAAAATTTTTATCTTCACAGAAAAAGGATTAAAGTTGAAGCTAAAAATCTGAAATTTCGTCACACATTTGGTATTACTTTGGAGCACTTCTGGGTGCAATTTCAGCTGTATCGGTCAAATAATTTCCGAGATACAGCAATTTCTCAAAAACTACGTGACTAAATTGAAATTTTTTGCCGCCAAAATATTCCTCATAATAACACCTATCAAATCAAATTACAATATTGCGATGTAACTACACTGGTAGAAAGGATTAATTATTGTTAACGAACAGATTTGGTTGGAGACGAGGGTCTATTCGGTCTCATCAAATGTTCATTCGTTAATAGTTAACAAATACACATTTGAGGAGCCTTGTTTGACTCGATTTTCACTGTTCAAGTGAACCATTCATTGACTATTAACTAATATTCATTTGGTCATATTCAACTCTACCATTCGTTAATAGTTAACGAATCTCGTTTGGAATAAATGAATCAGTCTATCAGTGTAGGGACAGTTTGGTAATAATCGGCATTTTTATTTTTTATGACGAATTCGTTCTGTGCGCGATAACTCCTGAAAAAATTTACAGAGGATGTTGAAATTTGGCGAGACTGTAGCTCTTATGATATTACAGGATGGGATTGGGGGCAGACGAAATCGGACAAACGGTTCAGATTAGATAGAAACTTTAGAAAATATTCAACTTTTTGTGAAAAACTGTTTTGTTCAATATGTCCCAAACTACTGGTCCGATTAATTTGATTTGCTTTTCAAAATACTCATCTTGCCGTTCCCTATAAAGATCAATCAGAATATGAACACCCGTTCATATAAAGTTTTCGAGATATTCGCGTTTTTCTATTTTTTATTTATTTTGAGAGCTAATGTGGCGTTCCATAATATGAGTAAAACTTGGAATAAACATAGGAGATTCCGGCTACTAATTAGAGGGTACTAACTAGGTGGTGATGATTGATTTTAGAAGAAAATGTCAAAAGCCGCCATTTCGCGATGATTTTAACGACGATGGACAAGAAACATGTGAAACTGCTCGTGTGGCAGACGTTTATTTATTGTTTATTATTGAGTGTAAAAGAAAATATAAAGACATCTTATTTGTAAACAATATTGTGGAATGTCGATTATGAAATAATTTTGTCAGCAATTGAGTTGACAAACAGTGCCATTAACAGTGCTGTTTATCGACCTTTCCTTCCAAACTGATTAATTTTTGCCATATTCACACAGAAAAACTTGAACGTAAATTGCGCTTAAGAAGTCGTCTTTTACGCTTTCTGCAACGTATTTTACGCTTAAAATTGAAGCATAAATTACGCTGAATATCACCGTAAATTACAATTACATAATCGTAATCTATTTTCTATTCGTAAATTATATGGCGATTGTTTTCGTATTTTACGTTTACTTATTCATAATTAACGATGAAGGAAAAAAAGTTATTTTAAGCTTAAAATGCAATTTTTTTTTCGTAAATTACGCATAAGTAAATCGTGAAATACGTTTCTATTGCAATCGCAATTTAAAATTTCTTAGGGTAACAACCCATCGAACAGAATCCACACGGATATGTATAACCAATTAGGATCGCAAAATTTTCTCGCCAATTTTATTTGCTCGACTCTGATTAGTATACGCGGATGCGTCTCCGTGTGCATTCTATTCCATGGGCAGTCACCCTTAAGCATAATTGACGTTTTTATTTTGGCTTTTGAAAGTCTAAATTCTGATTTTTATGACGGAAAAAAGCCACCAGATATCATATTGGCCATAAGCGTAAATTACGTTTAGCAAACCATGAATGACGCTTAGCAAACCGTAAATTACGCTTAGCAAAACGTAGTTTACGGTTAGGTTTTTCTGCGTATTGACACAATTGATAAAGCTTCCACGTTCGACTCTATGAATGATTACTTATTGAACATATTGATTCAAGCTAAAAAGTTCGATATGTCGTCACATGCAGGTGATTGAGGAAACAAACTATTCAACGACTCATATTCTAAGATAAAATTCTGAAGAGGAGACGTTTCCAACAATTCCTTAAAATCTTTTGATCTTACCGAAGCGGATAAACTCCTTGTTGGCCTGTGATATCGGACTTTCTTCAGGTACACCGTGTAGATAACACCGTCACACCTTTCCTCGCCCCATAAACGCCACGTGGGCTGCAATAAACCAAGAAAGGAAAATTCAAACTTTAATAATTGCTTTGAACATTCCAAGGAATTACCCCCGGGATTCCGGTGGCATACTCAGTCTTGGGTGAACGAGATCATGATTTATTGAAGCAATTCTCGGGTAAGTTTCTCAGGGTATTATCCTGAGAGGCACCCAGCTACAGAGACCATCGATCGAGCCCGAAGGCTGGGATTATTACTCCCGTGACTCGTGTGATTAATTTATAAGTCAATTACAGCGGGGATTTTACTGGACGTGCCAAAAGCCATGCAATTGCATTTTTCATACAGAATAAAATTGACGAAAACAAATCACACATACTCTAAATCATTGAAGTCTACTTTGACAGATGAAAATATTTTTTATTTTAAAAACTATTTATGAATTCGACATTCGCATGATGTTTTTCGAATTCCTCCTGCGTTTTTTTGATATGGTGCACTACAAAAACCAGGTGTCTGACAGCTATCGGAATTTAAGATGTCAGATGGTAAAAAACGGCTGAATCTTCAAAAGTGTCTGAAAATCTGACTAATGTCTGAAAATTTCAACCACTGTTTCTGTCTGAAAATGATGGCAGACTTTTTTTGTGTCTGAAAAATTTCAGGTATTTTTTTTCAGATATTATCTGTCTGAAATTCAGTTATTTATGAGTGATTCAAACATCGCCGTGGCTATTCGCACTACTATACGCAGCGTGTCACACGCTGCGTGTGAGACGCAGATTCATATATGAGTCGGCCAGCACTACATCACGCAGCGTGTCGCACGCAGAAATTCATATAAGGCTCGAGTGCAGGAGCGGGTATCGAAATATAGTGCAGATGATTCTAAGGATAATTTACCAAGCAGGGGAGACTCCTAGACCCCAATGGACAATGTTGTCACAACTCTGCTTTTTAATTGAAAACAGACATCATCTTTAGAGACATTTGTCATTTTTAGAGACATTAGCACGCCATTTCGAGACTCGCTCTTTCATTTGAGCCCAAAAAAAACATTCATATCTTGTCTGACATCTCCGCTACAAACTCTGGTCTTGAACTCTGGTTTCAACTGAAAATCAGAGTTGAAGACCAGAGTTTGTAGCAGAGATGTCAGACAAGATATGAATGTTTTTTTGGGCTCAAATGAAAGAGCGGATCGAGACATGGCGTGCTGATGCCTCTAAAGATGATTTTGAACCAGGGGAGACTCCTAGACCCCACTGGACAATGTTGTCAGAACTCTAGTTTTCAACTCTGACACCAGAGTTCATATAGCAGAGATGTCAGACAAGATGTGAGTGTTTTTTTGGGGCCCGAGCGCAGGAGCGGGTATCGAAATATAGCGCAGATGATTCTAAGGATGATTGGTTGACACGTTGCGTATTATTGTACTATCGGCCGACCCTTATAGGAATTTCTGCGTGTCACACGCCGAGTGTCACATGCAGCGTGTGAGACGCTGCGTATTGTACTATTGGTCGACCCTTATATGAATTTCTGCGTGTGGCAGGCTGCGTGTGGTAGTGCGAATAGCCACGGCGTTCAAACATTTCACTATTAAGATATCTCACCTGATTCAGACGGCAAAGTCCATTCAAACGTTAATTTTTAAGATATTTCTCATGTCTGAAAAGTTGACTCATCCACTGCAAAAACTAGGTGTCTGACAACCATCTGAATTTAAGATGGCAGATGGCAAAAAACGTCTGAATTTTTAAAAGTGTCTGAAAATTTCAAACACCGCTTGTGTCTGAAACTGATGTCTGTATCTTAATTTCAGACATCTTGGTGACTGAAATTGAAATACCTCCATTGATTCAGACACATTTTAATGTCTCAAAAATGTCTACAAAATCGTCCCAAAAGTGTTTGAAAAGCGTCTACAAAAGTGTCTGAAATTCAGACATTAGTTTTCGCAGTGTCTGTTCTCACCACTTCCCTATATAATTACTTGAATTTCTTATGGAGGTGGAGTCTTTCAAAAGACTCCAAGTAGCCAGTTGAATAGTTACGACAGAGACCGGTGATTAAGTCACCGGAAATGTACGACAAGAGTCCTCCAGCATTTGCTACTGAATAATTTTAAGGATTCCAATTGGAGTCAGTGAGCCAAGGGTTCACTGACCTCGTTGAAACTTCATGCTCTGAAATAGAAGAATCGATAGTATATCGTCCTCATTTTTATAAAAGTGATATACCATTTCCTCCCTCTATCCATTTCTCATCAATTTTTTCACTCGAGCTGTATCGATCGCCGTGCATTGACACTCAATTTCGAGCGAAAAATTGAGCAGAAAAGTGAAAGGATAAATGTTATATATATTCTCCTAAATGTTCACGAAGGAGTCAAAGCTGAGAATCAAGGACGAGAGCGTCTCCAACCGTGGACAGTGAACAAAGGCCATACGACTTCTGCGTGTAGTAAGTCGAGTGATTCTTCCATTGGCGCACTACAATGAGCCCTCACGTTTCCGGTCAGGTAACGCGTAATTACACGCCCAGTTTGGCCCCACCTGAATCTTTAAATACGTGTGCATATACATTTAACATTCCCATACGTCACTGAATGTCGAGGCATTCCTTTAAAATTATTTTTTACGATCGATAAATTAACGTCATTAGCAGTTTACTGATGTAATTTATTCTTTTGTTTTGAATTTTCAAATTGAATTGAATGAAGTAATAGTCAGTGATGAAATTCACTCCAAGGAGATGAGTAAATTCTTTTGTAACATTTGAAGATTTTTGCTAATTAAGGGGAGACTACTATGAGTTTTTAAATTCGTGGGCTATTGGAGTGAGATTTATTATACATTAAAAATCAATTATAGATGTCTAAAAACGAATAATTGGTGCAAAAAAATTAATTGCTCATTGTTCGGTTGCCCCGCAGACGCTTGAAGTATTAAAAATAGTCCAGGGCCTCCAATTTTTGAGCTATAGAGGTTTTACAATAACAATTACGGATTCGTTTTTTAAAATTCGACTTCTACGCAGGTAATTTCGTTTTTTTTGTTTAAAAAATTGCACCATTCATGTAAAATATCCAGGAGAATGATTCTCAAAAAAATGAAATGTATTCTCGATTTTTTCAGAAACATTTTTCTGGTTATTTTACATGGATGGTGCCATGTTTTATCTTAAGAAAACCAAAGTTGACTGTTTAGGAATCGAATTTCAAAAAAATAGCTCGTAATTGTTATTGTACTATTTAAAAAAAAAATGTTGAAATAAGGGCTTAAAAATTGGAGGCCCTGGACTATTTAAACATTTTAAGCTTCTACGGGACAAACGAACAATAAACAATCGATTTTTTTGCACTAATTATTCGTCTTTAGGCATATATAATCGATCTTCAATGTATGAAAAAATCGAGGGGCTGGTCGCTTAGGAAATCACTGGTCCACTTGATTTAAAATCAAGGAAGAAATCACTGGAAATCAAACGATTTCCATTTCCGGTCGTGATTTCTAATGACTTCTGGAAATCATCGGAAATCAGTAGAAATCAGGTGATTTCAGGGATAATTAGAAATCATCGATGAAAGTGAAACCCAAATTTCTTTATTCAAGCTCACTTATACGATCCCGTCTGATCCTCATGACCTTCTTATGCACATGTCATTTGATTTTTACTATGACATCCACAAGGTCCTTCTATACTTTTTGTTTCCCCAAATTATAATTTTTTGAGTGATTTCTTAAAACCAAGAAATCATCGGAATTTACTAGAAATCATGGAAATCACGAAAAATCAAACGAAATCATGGTTTCCAATTCGTATTGAAAAATCACAGAAATGGTTCCAGAAATCACAGAAAATCATCCCATTCTGGAAATCACTCACTGAGAAAAAAAATTGCTTTTGCCAAGTATATTTACTTGCCACAAGTAAACGTATATAAATATTTGCATAAGACATGTTAATGCCAAGTCAATTTTCTTGTAGTTAGTAAATAAACTTGGCAAAAGCAATTTTTTTTCTCAGTGCTGAGCCACCCGAATAGGGCGTGACCAGCCCCTCGGAAAAAACTCACTCCAGTAGCCCGCGGCTTTTAAAACTCACAGTAGTCTCCCCTTAATTTGGACTTATTCGCAATTTTTTCCTCCAATGTGAGAATTTTTTCAGTAAATTTAGGAAATTTCTGATCGAAATCATATTTTAAATTTATTCGCGCCTGATTGTCTCGAGAATGACCGATTGTAAGTGAAAATTTCAAAAAACTTTTTGTCATGGGATTTGTTTTGCTCTAAAAAAACACATTTTTAAAAATTTGTTTTTCAGCGTAATTCATTAATAAGCCAACTTAAACAATTCACCTAACGCGTTATGCCAATTAAAACAGTTTGATCACTGTCGTACTAAATTTATCTCACCTCACATAAACAAAGATATTCTGTATTCACGTAATCAGAGTTATTTGAAGTGCATTCGAATCCCTAGATTTATTTAAATCCCCAGCTTTCCATAAATACGATTACATGTCATAAACCTGAGTACAAAGGTCAACAATGGACTTAATTAATCCCTTTATCTTGAATTACACAGGGAAGACCTTCATCGGAATTTCAATCAATTCTAAACTAAACAAAGAAAATAATAACAAGCACAGCTTGGGACCCTCAATAACATGCTGGTACAAGCGAAAAGGAAAAAGGCTGACAAACCAAGAGATAAAACAAACAAGACGGACAAGCTATGGAAAACAGGCGGAACATCAATAAACTTTAATCAGCTGATCAATGCAATTCAGAGGTGAAGGTATAAAACCAGATGAATCAATTTTAGTTCTACACAATTCCAATTTTAAACAATAACTTCCCTATCGGGAAGTTAATTATTCTAAATTAGTCTTTGGAAATTCCAATTTTAATTATTGTTAAATTAGTCTTCGGAAAATAACTTGGAATCTGAAGGGGTCAGTGAAATTTTTGTAAAGACCTTCTTTCTAGAGAAAAATGAGGGCTACAAAAAAGGTCTTTATGAAAATTCGTCTACCTCTCATAAGTCTGGAGATCTGCATGGAAAACTGAATCGGAAGATGAACTGAATCATGCAGTTTTACGACTTCACCTTGCCACTGAACTAATTTATCGACTTGATTTTACCTGTTGAACATACCACTGTGTGGTACTCTGATTCTTCTTGGTAGAGGGTTTGCAGGGGGCGCAGAAGAGTAGTGGACCGAATTTCCCTTTGGACGGGGCCTGGGGTGGAGGCGGCGGGTCCTGTGGCGATGCGGGACTTAGCCCAACATCACCCAGCACAGGCCACAGCATCCAGTACTAATTTCTCCTATTGTTTATCGCTTCTACTTCGTTAATCTTAGGTCATTGTTTTTACTCCCTCGCCCCGGTTTAATGATTAGCGACAGCATTATTGATTTATCTGGAAGAAGTCGATTTTTATTCACTTTGGCCGATTTAATTACCTTTTTGCAAAGTGCCACTTCAATTTGTGTAATTAATATTTTCTTCATTTTGTGGAGTTATGGAAGTTCTTCGATTTTTTGCTTTCGAATGGGAGCCTTGTGTTTGACCGATTTTTCGAGTTTCTAATTTTGATTGAAAATGGGATAGAGTGTTATGAAACGTGAAGAAATGATGTTTTCATGACACTGTCCGTAAAGAGTCGTTAAATTTGTCAATTGAATTGCGTGAAAAAATTTTCAAACAATCATGAATATTCAGCGTCAATCAAATTACATTTTGCACAGAATTATGATTTTTTAAAACATTTGTTGTTTATTAAAAAATAATTGAAATTGTTTAAAGTTTCGAAATAGTTATTTTCATCACAAGGTCCACAAAGTATTTTCTGACGAATGTGGCTTTGTAGGCCGAGCCGAAGGCGAGGCCTATAATCACATTCGTCAGAAAATACTTTTGGACCGTGTGATGAATGCAATTTTTCGTCAGAAGGCCCGTAAACCGCGATCAAACCGAGCGAAGCGAGGTTAGAATCGCGGTTTACCGGGTCTTCTCACGAAAATAGGATATTACGATACAAGTGAGCTCGTGTAATTGGTAACCCTCGGCTTCGCTTCGGGCTGCCAACTTCACACTCGTGAAAATTCCTGTCTCACGTGTGGCGAACAATATTTTTTAACAGTGATGTTACGTTCAACGACTGGCCGAATTGTGCCTTTTTCGTTTACGAGTATATTTGTACATAAAAATCTGAAATTTTGACTCATAGTAGCTATGATTGAGCTCAACCCTGGCGCCCTGTTTCAGCCCGATCGGTCCAGTTCCTGAGATATAGCTGGTTTATATTTCGCTTTTCTTCAATATCTCAAAAACTACTGCACCGATATCGATTTTTTTTCTTCAAAATAGTCATCTTTATGGCCTCCAATATATATGCTCGTTAATACGACGTTTAGAGATATTGCCGTTTTTTTATTTTTTCCACGCAAATTTTGTACGCACGATATTTTGGATGGGCGCAATTAAAATTACATTAAAATTGCATTTGTGCGGAATTATCATTTTTTTGAACATTCGTTGTCCATAAATAAATAGTTAAAAGTGTTTAAACTTTTGGAAACCTTATTTTTTTAAGCATGAAATCGATTGCTGGTAAAATTTTGAATATTTATAAATTAGTTACGATTCGGAAGAAATGATTTTTATCGTGGAAAATTGATTGTTTATGAATTATTTGCAGAAAATGCTCATAATTTTAAAAAATTGGACTTTTCAAATTATTTCATCAGATTGCCTCCAAAACTAAAGTTTCTAATTTTGTTTTCTGATTTTTTAAATGTTTTCTAACGGTTCAATATCGAGATTCAAATTCAGACCAAATAAAATCTCTGATGTTCGAATACTAAAGTAGAAAATTATTTCACTGGATAAAAAATAGCCAAAGTACTTGAATCCTTAAGGATATCCAAGTGTTTTTTTACAGTTTGGTACAGATCACACTATAGATTCAACCATTTTCAATCATTAAATTTGTCAATTAAATTGTCTGAAAAAAATTTGAAAAAAATCATGAATATTTAGCGTCATTAAAATTACATTTTGCACAAAATTATTATTCTTTTGAACATTCGTTGTTTATTAATAAATAATTGAAATTGTTTAAATTTTCGTAAACCTTATATTTTTAGGCATGAAATCGATTTTTGGTAAAATTCTGTAGATGAATAAATAAATTTGTTACGATTCAGAACAAATGATTTTTATAGTGGAAAATTGATTGTTTATGAATTATTTATAGAAAATGCTCATAATTTTTTTTAACGCACTTTTTAATCATTTCATAAATTATCCTCCAAAACTAAACTTTCTAATTTTCTTTCTGGTTTTTAAAATGGTTTCTAACAGTTCAATATCGAGATCCTATTAAGACCTACAAAGTTTAAATAATAGAATCATTGTAAAATGTCCGGAAGTTTAGAGTTAAGGGGTAACAGAATGCCGTTATTTTACTAAATTTAAAAAAAAATTTCCTGCTGAAAGTTACTGATATTTTTACAAATCAAAATACATTAATCTCCAGGAAGCGATGATGAAGATCAATGTGCTTTGGGTTAAAAAAAATATTAATAACTTTGAGGAGGAAATTTGTTTGAAAATTTTGAGGAAAGGGTGGCCTTCTATTACCCCTTATATGGATGTCACTGTAGAAAAAATACCCAAAGTACTTGAATACCCTTAAGTCGGGGGTTACCATTTTCTCACAAAAGCGCTCCCTCTCCCCATAATAAGCCATTGTTAACAACGGTATCATCAACTATTTTCATTCCATCAATTTCCAACTAAATTGATATTTCTCCAACGCTCTGATCCATTGACATTGAACTTAATAATATACCAAATTCAAGGAATCTTGGAACAAGTGCGAAATCAGTACCTACTACTTTGACGTAGGTGTTTGACGCACCGAGTGGGACGAAACGTTTCAATTTGTTGTGACATTCAGAATCGATTTTCCAACTTTGTGGTGTTCCGGATGTCGTCAGTTGCAGCGAGAAAAGGTCTTCCTGTATAGTGACGCGTGGGCAACATTTTCCAAGTAACAACTAGACAATCTAATCATCGCTTTAAATTGAATAACCCTATATTTCTGTCCGTCTCATTTCCTCATTCTCTATTCTCTATTTAGGGTTATTTTTGGAGAATTGCGGGGCGGGGGGGGGT